GGAAGGATGCGCTTCCCCCTGCGCACCTCCTTTCCGCAAATGGGTACTAGAATCCCCAGCCCGGTGAGAACACAAAGCGGATAAAGCTAAAGTCTCCCGCATACGTAAGAGCAACGGCGGCGGCTCTGCCCTCTGCCCCCACCCCATTCTTTTAAAATGCTGTATCTTTTTTTTGTTTGTTTTCAAACAGCGGGCACATTCGCCAGGCTCCAAAGTTAAGCGGAACCAAGAGGCCGCCCTCCTTTTTGCAAACCACACTTTCTCTTTCTCCTGGAGAGAGGTTACACTTAGTCCGTAAATGCACGTTCTTTTTCTTTTTCCTCTTTTTGAAAAAACAACAGAGAGCCCCTGGTTCTGCTGGGCTTTCGACTCCTGGACGCTCAGAATAGCCACATCAGAAAAGAGTCTGGGGGCATCTTTGCCAGCCGCACAGTATTCGCTTTAACCATTCCTTCTTTCTCCAACCATCTCCCCGCCCAGTGGACGCTTAGGCCATTTCAAGTGGTTTGCAGTCCCCCGCCACGCCACGCCACGCCTCAGCCAGGGCTGCCATGAACACTTCCTGGGCCACCATTCTGCCTGTGGGTTTATCTCATGATTAATTTCCCAGTCACTGACTTGCTGGGCCCCTCCCCACCTTTTCTGCGCTGGCCTCGCTACTCTTTTTCTTATCGCTGGTTCCTTTCCTGTCATCTTTTTCAAATCCATTTCCCACTGCTGGCCGCTGTGACTTCTTAACTTTTTTTTAATAAAAGCTGTGTGTGTGTGTGCGCGCGCGCGCACGTGTGTTTACCCGCACTTGTGAACCCACTGATGCTGTTTGCCTGGTGTGTGGTGCCCAAATGGGGAGGAGGGAGTCTCGGGGTATGGGAGCTGCCCCTGGACACCCTTGCCCCCCTACCCCAGATGGTGCAACCACCAGCTGGAGCGCCCCTCCGGGGGTGGCCCAGAGTCCAAATGGAAATACTCATTTCCCTGATAAGTCTTTGAAAAGCTCAGAACTAATTTGAAAATGTGGCCATTAAAATCCCATCACGGGGAGCAGGGGGAGGGAGCGAGGTGGGGCCTCTCCCAGAGGCTGGGTGACCGCCAAGGTGTTCAAAGGCCAGGAGGGGAGGTGTGTGCCTGGCAGCAGGGGAGGAGGGACAGAGTGGAGAGGCAGCCAGGACAGAGGAGGGGGTCCTCATCTGAGGGCAGGGGCCTGACTCAGCACTGTCTCCCTGGAGACGACTCCGCTCACTCACCCTTGGGAACCCCTGAGGGCACAGGGTGTGGATAAAGAGGGTCAAGTCTCCCCTCAGAGTGACTCACTGTGTGACCTTGGGCAAGTCACTCACTGTCTCTGGCCTGGAGAGGCCAGTGGGGGGTGCTCAGGGCAGCTCAGCCTAGTGGTGACAAGTCCCTGGGGGGGGAGGAACATCCTTGTGCCCCACATCTGGGGCCGGGCAGCTGGTGGCCAGGGCGGGACGTGTCGTCAAGGAAACAGGTCATCATCCCAGCCGGAGACCAGGCTCCGCATTGAATTGTCTGCTCGGAGAAGCTGAGCTGAGCGCAGGAGGTGGCCGGAGGGGAGGGGGACAGCGGCTCCGGCTCCCACACCCCCACCCTGTGCCCAGGTGGACAGACACTGGTGGGGGTTCAGGCATGGGGGCAGATGAGCGGCTCAGTGGTGGCTTTGGGTGCTGTACAGAATGTGACACAAAGGGATAAGGACAACCGCTCAGGGGTGCCCATCGCTGAATTCTGGGGCGATCGTCCAGCCATTATTGTCCCCTGTCAAACCCAGCCTTTCATGGGGGGGGACGGCTCACCCCCTGGTGCCACCCTGGCTCCTGCCTCTTCTCCCCTGGGCTTCACTGTCCCCTCTCCCCGACTGTCCCCAAACATCATGACATCAGCTCTGTGTCCAGTTCCATCTTCCACGCCCAGGTCTGTTCCCGCGTAGACGTCCCTCAGAGCCCAGATGTCACCCTGGGTGACATCTTTCCCTGGAATAGCCCACCCATGCCCACCTCCATCCCCCGCTGCGCCGAGAAGCAGCCAGCCACCCTGTTACTGTGCGAATATCAGATTGTGGCTCCGTGAAGTGGAGGCTGCGTTCGTCTCACTCCTGGCTGTGCTCAGCAGAGCCTCACACACACAGTGCACACAGTGGGTGCTTGATAAGCTGTTGAATGAAGGGAGGAGAGGGAGGAGGGAGCAGCTGCAGGCATTCAGAACTTGCAGATCCTCCGGCCGGCCCCAGACACGGTGGGATACCCCCCCTCAGGATCATGGGGCACCGCGCCCGCTTGATAACCCTGGAAACTGATGTCCACAGAGTGTGCGCTCCAGGCCACTCGGCTTCTGGAACCCAGGCCCAGCATCCCTGCTGACCCTGACCCAGAATGGCGAGGCAGTGGGTTCACGCCTGCATCCGGGGCGGGCCAGCAGACAGAAATTCCTTGGGGGTCCAGGTGGCCACAGGCCTGCTCCCTGTGCACTCAGACCCAGCGGGGCGCAGGCTGGGGCACCACCCACACTGGCCGTCACATCCAGCAAGTCACACCCCGCCCTCAGCTCTTCACATTGCATCCTCTGAGTGTCATTGCGACCCCTACACCTCCGAGGCCAGCTACAAGCAGATGTCATGCTGGGTCTGCTGGCCCCTGGGTCTTCCTGCTGCCCACTGACCAGCCGCTTCCTCTGGGCCTCTCTCTGCACGCCCCTCCAGATCCCTGCCCACCTTCTTCCAGAAGCGCATAGACAGCTCTTGCTACCTTCACAGGTTATCCCGTAACTCACACGCGTGTGGTCTGCTGCATGTGGGCACCCTTCCCAATGGCAGCAAAGTGCCCTGCACACACCACCTCGTCCACACACCCAACAGACAGGGGAAAGGCCGATGCTTGTGTGGTCAGGCAGCTGGGGCCGGGGATGGCCCAGGACAGGCCCAGCAGCGGTACTCACACACACACACCATCACCCACCTAGACCACAATGGGCCTCTGGGGGAGGGGATGGGAGGAGGAGGGAGAGGAGGAGAGAAAGGGAGGGGAGGAGGGGGAAGCAGATGCGGTGTTTATCAGGAGGCGATGGGGGTGAGCGGGCTCCTTCCAGTTTAGACCTGATTCTGTCCATCCACTGAGGGGGGTGGGTGCTGAATCCCTGCCCATCAGCAGGCCTCAGCTTTTCCCTTGCTGAGGGGGACAGGGTGCTCCCCGCTGAGGGCCCTCCCACGGGTCCCACTGCCCTGCCTGGCCCTCCAGGGCAGCGGCTGGCTGGGTCTCCCCCCGCAGAGTCTTCCAGTCTGGGCTGAGTCTCCTCACTGCCCTACTGCCCACACAGGGGGCTTCACCAGGGGTGTGAGTTGCTGGTCAAACATAGCTGGCCAGCAGCCTCCCGCACTGGGTGAGAGGGCCCATAGTGGAGAGAACCGGGGCTCTGCTGAAGGTGAGGGGGAGAGCTTCCCAGGGCAAGGGCCACTGGTGCTGGGCCTTGAGGGATGTGTAGGAGTTCTCTGACCGAGGCAGTCCAACTCTCTACTCCTAACCTCAGTTTCTCCATCCCTCCCCTCTCCAGAAAGAGTCCAAGAGAGGTGCTGAGGCTTGAGGACGGCCCAGAGAGGGGAAAAAAATCTCAAGACTGCACTGCAAGTGGGTCCCAGGGCCTAGCTTCTCCCAGGGGCCCTAGATAGAAGCTCCGAGCCTCATCTCAGCCCCACCATCGTACTCAGGACTTTTTTGGCTAAACCTTTTCCCCCAGCCTGGCGAGGCAGGGGTCGCGATTGAGACCATTTTCCAGCTGACGAAGCTGTGGCTCAGAGGGCCGGCACCGCGCAGTAATCCGCGGGGGCGGCCGGGCCGACGGGCAGCAACTTTCTAGAAAGGCAAGAGGCAGGAGGGAGAGGGGTGCTGTGGGAGCAAATCCCAGAGGGTCTGAAGTGAAAGGGAACTTGAAGGCCTTCCCCAACTCACCTCCCTTTGCCGCCACCTGGACGCGGACCAGCGGGCTGGGACCGCCTATCGGGGGCCCCGCCCTGGGCTGCAGTGGGGCCGGCTGCCCCCTGCCGGTCACAGCGGGAACCGCGGGCCAGAACTGCAGAAAGAAGGCCCACCGTTAGCGCTTGCTGGGCGCTCCGTGGAGGTGCTGATTGGAGAGTCTGTACGGCCTTTGGTCTCCTTCAGGGCCTCTGGGACCCCCAGGAGTCACCACAGGCTGGGAGGCCCTGGTGAGGGGGCCGGGGGCTGAGGGGACCTGCCGCGCAGATGCAAGTTGGACCCTATTTGGGGGTTCGACGGTGTAAATGAGGATATTGGAGGAGACAGTGGAGGTGAAGAAAACACAGCAGTGGGATGGTGGCGATAAGAAAGAAAGGTGGTGGGGGTGGGGTAATGCTTAGCATGCACGAGGCCCTGGGTACCATTCCCAGAATCTCCATTTAAACAAAAGGACGGAAATGATGTGGGGGAAGGTGACAATGGTGGAGGTGATAAAACGGAGGTGACGGCGGTGGGGGTGCAAGTGGAGGAGATGAGAACAGAGGTGGTGCTGGTGTGATGGCAGCGAGGGTGATGGAGGTAGGCTGTGGGGGGTTGCAGGTGGGGGGGCTGCAGGTGGTGGAGGTGATGGTGGCAGGCGGGTACTGACAGTGGTGGAGATGAGGCGACGGAGGTGGAGGTGGAAGGCATGATGAAGAAGAAGCGACACTGTTGGTGGAGGAGGTGACAGTGGGGGAGGAGATGGAGGAAGAGTGCGGCCACCACAGTGGCACTGCCCAGGGGAGATCATCGTGGAAGAGGTGGCGACTGCAGTAGCACCGCAGTGCGAGGCTGGTGGTTGGGGCTGGAGTTTAACTCCCAGGCTTGTGCACCGGCCCCTCTCACCCAGCCCTGCTCCCTGGTCAGTCCTTCTCTGGCAGCCTCAGTTTTCACTTCTGTGAAAGGGGCCCATACCCAGGCCTCTCCTCCTCCCGGAGCTGCCTGCAGGGACTGCAGTGGCTTTTAGGGCTGGCTGGGGTGATCCTGGGTGCCTGGAGGGATACTGATGGGGGGAGGGTGGTGATAGGATGGGACCGCTGATGGGGGCTTTGGGCTGCCTCCCGCGCACTGCACTCGCACCTCTGCCTGGGGCAGGGCCCTGCAGGCCGGCACCACCGGGGGGCTGTGGGGGATGGGAGCAATGACAAAAGCTGCTCGCTGTAAACAGCTTCGACTGGAGCCCAGATCGATCCGGACTGTGAGGAGCTGTAATTAGATTGAATGCAGGGAAGGGGGGCAAGCGGAGCCTCTTTTTGCTGCGATCGACAAAATGCGAAGTTTTTTCACGACTCTGCTTCGCCCAGCCCCTCCCCCAGCCTCTGCCTCTGGGGCCCCCATTAGGCACTTGATTGGAGGAGGGGGAGGCAGGTGGCAAAGGGGAGACCCACATCCTTCTTCCTTCCCATCTGGACCAGTCAACCCTTGCTTCTGTCTTGCCCCTGCCAGGACTTGCTGAGCGACCTTGGGCAAGTGGCTTACCTTCTCTGAATAAACAGAAAGGCAAATCCCTGACTTAAAGAATTATCATAAGGATTAAAAGATGCGGCACATGTAAGACCCTCAACGTGCAAAGCTCTTGCAAGCTTTCCAAAGAGTATTTGTATCTCTGTCCCTCCTGTAAATGCATAGTCAGTTCATGAGTAAATTGCTAAATGAATGAATGAATGCATGCATGAGGGAATAAATGAATTGAAGATTACAACAGGCGGGCAAGAAGGGCTTCTCTCAGAATATAAAGGCCTGGGCTGAGTTTTGAGTCTTCCCTGGCCTTGCTGCCTGAGACTCAGTTTTCCCTTGAAAGAATGGGTGATGTGGCCTCCTCCCTGTGACCCTTGCAGGCTGGCCAACTTCCAAAGAGATGGGAGTTCAAGGCAGTTTCTGGCACTTCCTTCCAACATTTCTTTATGCAAATAAAATATGAACAAATGTTCTCACTCCCCCCCATTCGGTATATAAGTCTGCCTGGTACACTGTTCATCCCCTAGGTTTACCTCACCGAGTGCTAGGATTGCATTTCCTTTCTTGTACAGCTGTTTGTTTTTCCAGGAGTTAGTGGTTGCCAATCACAAACTCCTACATTCCCCAACGAAATGGAAAACCAACACATGTTAGGACATCTTCCCTTCCACTTCCCTTGGTGCTCCTGCTCTGATATGGGTGGGTGGCCTTGAAGCCTTTTCCTGCAGTCTTTCAGGCTCTCCCCTCTTCCCTTGGGGGACCTCTTTTCCCTTTCTTCTAGGATGAATCACATTTCCTGAATCCCACAGCTTCCTTTTTTTATTTACTTCCTCATTGTGATGGGACACATCCTCTAGTAGCTTTCTGAGAAAGGGTGCACAGAAGTCAACTTCAGAAGACCTTGAAAGTTTGACTATATCTTCATTCCACCTTCATGCTTGATGTTTGGCAGGGCACAAAATTCTCGCTGAATATAGTTTTCCTTCAGAATTTTGAAGGCCCAGTTCCACTGGCTCCTGATTTTTGAAAGGCCCCAAGCTACTCTGATACTTAGTCCTCCAAATGGCATGTGGCTTTCCTCTCTGAGAATTTTCACGATCTTCTCTTCATCCTGGATCCCTGACATTTCACAAGGATGAGTCTCAGGGAGTGTCTTTTTTCATTCATTGAGCTAAGTATTTCCTGGACTCTTTTAAACTAAACTCTCATGTCTTCCAACCATGGATTTTTTTTTCATTATTTCTTTGGGCTTCTCTTCCTCGAGTTCTGGGTGGCCGCCTGCTCAGATGATAAACCTGCTCAATTCATCCTCTAACTGTGTCGCCTTTCCCTCACTTTCCATCTCGGCATCCGCGTGTCGTATTTCCAGGGATATTTGCTTAACTTTATGCTGCAATCCTTACATTGACTTTCTTCCAGCTATTCTATGTTTAAATTCTAAGAGCATTGCCTTACCCTTCTGTTGCCCTTTTTGTTGAACAAAACCCCATCCCTGTTTCACGAGCACGGTGTTTTTACATCCAAGAACATGACTGGTAACTTTGCCTGATTTGCCTGTTTCGTCTGCGAGGATGGTCCTCCAGTTCTACCATTTTTCTCACCTGCTGTCTCTCTCCTTCATTAGCTGCTCTTCTGGAATATCCAGTAACCTCCGGCGATCACTCTTGCTTGATCATAAAACCTGAGACAGACAATTAGAAGCCTGTGTGTTCCAGTTCAGAGGGATCCTGGGACAGAAGTGGTACCTCAGTTCACACAGGGGAACCCATTGTCCCTGAGAAACCAGCCACAGTGCAGGGACATTCATCTATTCTTGCAGATACGTGTGGACAATGATCTGGCACGCCATCTGGTTTGGAATGTTCCAGAACCAAAAAGGCCAGCTCGGCATGTGGTCCCAGCAGGCCACCAGCCACTCCTGGGGGTGACAGAGTCGCTGGGCATCTTTTCCACCCACCAGCCCCCATAGCACTGAGAGGAGGGGTCCCCTTGGGGGCTGGGGCAAGGAAGAGCAGGACCACAGGCCCCAGCCCAGCTCCACCACCCTAAGATGCTGCTGCCCACCCCCCACAAGCACCCACTGACCACGAGGTGGCTTCCTGCAGCCTTCTCTATGCTCCACGTCAGGTGGCCCCAGGAGAGGGAGGTCTTGCACCCCTCCCTAATCCTCCCAGCTGCAGAGGGTCCCCTGGGGACTTGAGGGCAGCCAAGCCTCAGTCTCAGGCTGCTGTCAGGGGGAGGCCAGAGCAGGGACTCAAATATCAGAATCAGGCAATGGACACAAATGTTAGCCTAATACAGGGTCCCTAAGCTGGTAAGGCCTCAGAGGACAGCCCAGGGAAGGAGGCATGGACTGTCACACCTCTTCTGAAAACCTTACTATCCCATCATTCCAGGGAGATGTTACTGGGGCTTGGGGTACACCCCCAAGGACCTATTAATTTTTTTATTGAAGTATAGTCAGTTACAATGTGTCAATTTCTGGTGTACAGTGCACTAAGGGCCTATTAATTAACCATTTCTTTCACCCAAGTCTACACTGAGCCAAAAACTCACATGTAGAGTTTCCATGTCATTTCCCCCAACACCCCCAGGTGTGGGCGGCAGGAGGGAGGGCAGAAAGTCACCAGCACTGGGTGTTTTACTCTTCCAGGTCCGGATTCTTGGCGGGGAGGGGTTGGGGGATATGAGGCTGGGGAGGGGGGGCTAGCACGCAGAAGGGGCTTGGGGGGGTGACCCATGTCTGTGCAGGTGCGCTCACACTGTGTCTCCTCTTTGTCTCCCCCACCCCCCGCCCTACCTGCGTCCTCTGTCTCCCTCTCCCCACCCACTACGGGCGGCCCCCCTGCCTTGCCATTACTGCTTGTCTCTTCCGCCTTCTTCCTGCCTCCTGGTCTCTTTCTGTGTCTCCCTGTCCCTTTCGGCCTGTCCCCCTGTTGTCTCTCCCTCTACCTCTCGGGTTTCCCCGTATTTCTTTTTTTCCTGGCGTCTCCCTCTGTCCCCCTCTGCTTTGGGATGTGTCCGTCTTTCCTGTGTCGCCTGTCTTCTTCCGTCCGGCCGCGCGGTGGCGCTGCGTCCCTCTCGCCCGCCCGCAGCCTGCAAGCGGAAGGAGCAGGAGCAGCAGAAGGAGCGCGCGCTGCAGCCCAAGAAGCAGCGCCTGGTGTTCACCGACCTGCAGCGGCGCACGCTGATCGCCATCTTCAAGGAAAACAAGCGGCCGTCGAAGGAAATGCAGGTCACCATCTCCCAGCAGCTCGGCCTGGAGCTCAACACCGTCAGCAATTTCTTCATGAACGCGCGGCGCCGCTGCATGAACCGGTGGGCGGAGGAGCCCGGTGCGG